TTAAATGATAATTGCTCTGATGATTTTAAGGATAAGGTAAGTTCTATAGTCGATTCTTTTCATGGGAGCATACTAAATAACATAAAATCAAATAAATGAATAAAATCAAATTCATTCAAGAAATATTTAATTCCATGCTTACTATGTGCCAGGCACTGTTCTAGATGCTTGAGAGCCAGACAACAAAACAGACAAAAATCCCTAACCTCAATTAGCCTGCATTCTAGCAAAAGAGACAAAAGTAAGCAATTGACCTAATGATTTAAAAATTATCTTGTATATTAAAAAATAGTAAGTGCTAAGTAAAAACAGAATAAAAGGCGTAAGAAGGAGCAGTATTGCTAAAGGATACATAGTATTTATCGCATTGGTCTGGGTAGTATTTATCACACTGGTCTGGGTAGGCCTTGTTGAGAAGGTGAGCTCAATGGGTATTCAGGGAAGAGGGAACAGTTGGGGAAAAGCTCCAAGGAGTGTGTGTGTATCGTGGTGTCTTCATGGAACAGAAAAGAAGCCAATGTGACTGCAGCAGTCTTAGCAAGGAGAGTTGTGTGAGGTGAGGCCAAAGAAGAACAGGGAAACAGATTATGCAGGACTTTGGAGACCATTAGGGAAATCTGTGTTTTATTCTGACTGAAGTAGAAACCATTGCAGGATTTTGAGCAGTTGAGTAATGTGATCGGGCCCTCAGTTTAAAGAGGACCCATAGTTCTGCACACCTTAAATGTTTACAGTGCTATATGTCAATTATACCTTAATAAAGCTGGAAGAAAAAACAGAAAACCCATAATTAATTATTAAATACCTTAAAATTTTATCATTCGACCTATTGTACAATCCTTTTCATGTATGGAAGTCCCAATTTATCCTCCTCCTCTCAGAATAAAATGCTAATATTCCCATTTTCCCTAAGAAGATATCAAGGCTCAGAATGTCTAAGTAACTTGTCTGGGATAAGAGCTAGTAAGTTGAAGAGTCAGGTGAAAAGAATAATTTTTCTAACTCTTAATACAAAACCGATTGCTCTTTCCTATGTACTCATTTATACTAACGTTACAAAGGAGAAATAATAATAATTGAGATTAATTATTCAGATTATCCATCAATAGAGATGTTCAGTTTGATATATTAAATTGAATCAAACCCATTTTTCCCCTTATTATTAATTTCTGGGACATAATGATACAAATAATTTCCCTGAACTTTCTATTTGAAATGACATATGAACATTCAGGCTGAGAATTTTGGACAGAGAAGAAACCATAATAATAACTGAAATTTACAACAGTGTATTTACAAAGGTTTTCAAAGTCTTCTAGTTATTGTTATGTATTAACTCTCTACTCTATGCCAGTCACTGTGCTAAATCCTTTGCGTATATCCCTGTATTTAATATTCATCAAAAACCCTAAGAATAGTAATAGTAATCCTATTTTAAAGATGACAGATGTAGCCCCAGAGAGGTAAAGTACTGAAAGGTCACAAGACTGCTCAGTACTCCATCTAGAATTTTACCTAAATCACCACAATCTAAAGTTAGGTTCTCTTCACTCAGCCACACCACCTTCCTGCAGCAGGATGCACAAAGTATCACCTCAACATTCTCAACTAAAAGGTCAGCCAGATGTGAGTAGCTCCATTTTCCAGATGATTAACTGGTCATAGAAAAGTTAATCAAGTAATCAATATATTTTTTTATGGTCACCATATGCAAATCAATATTTAGTTAGTGAGAGTACAGAGGATTTATGATACAATACCTTGCCTCAATAAGTTTACGATCTTGTTAAGGAAACAAGAGACACATAAAAAGGTAATAAATAATCCAAGATAGCACATCATACGTACCAAATGAGATACAAAGCCAACAACAGCCAAAGAAATTCAACAGAGGGAAAATTGAATCTGGGTGCTTCAATTCAGTTAAGAAAGGTTATTACTGAAAAGGTCCCACATTGAGGTGGTCTTCACAGGAAAAGAGAGAATGAGGAAGAATAATTCCAGTGAGAGGGGAATATTTTCCCCTCAAAGGCTAAGGGAGCAGATGTGAATGGATTATCAAGAGAAAATGAATAGATGTGTTGGAAATACAGGATAGATGGGTGGCAAAGTAAAATTTAAGCCAGAGAAGCAAATTGTAAAAACCTTGATTGTCATGTTCGGAACCTATGGGAGGAGGGAAGGAATTGATTGTGTTTAACTGCTAGTATGTTGCGTGTACACTGTAGTTTATGTAATCCTCTCAACAACACTATAAAGTAGAAATACATCCTGGCCATTTAATTCATGGCCATTTAATTAATTTATTTTTTTAATTTTGGGGGGGTATAGTTGATTTACAATGTTGTGTTAGTTTCAGGTGTACAGCAAAGTGAATCTGTTATACATATATGTATATCCACTCTTTTTTAGATTCTTTTCCCATATAGACCATTAGAGAGTACTGAGTAGAGTTCCCTGTGCTATACAGTAGGTCCTTGTTAGTTATCTATTTTATATGTGGTAGTGTGTATATGTCAATCTCAATCTTCCAATTTATCTCCCCTTTACCCCCTGGTAACCGTAAGTTTATTTTCTACATCTGTAACTCTATCTCTGTTTTGTAGATAAGTTCATTTGTACCCTCCTACATGGGAAAGGAAATAGTCACCCAGGTCCAGGAAGCACAAGAGTCCCATACAGGATAAACCCAAGGAGAAACATGCTGAGACACATATTAACTGAACTAACAAAAGTTAAATAAAAGAAAAAATATTAAAAGCAGCAAGGGAAAAGCAACAAATAACACCCAAGGGAATCCCCATCATGACCATTTTAAATGAAAGGAAACAGAGATTACCTGGCCAAGGCACAGTTTTGGGTGTGTAGATGGAGCAGAAATTCGAATCTAGATCCATCTGCACGCAAGGCCTATATTCCTTCCACTACCCCCTCATCACCATCTACACAAAGCAATGGGGGAGCTATCAAAAGTATTTCATCAAGACAAGAGAGTAATATATGAAAAGTATTGACTAAAAGAAGACTAATCTGACAGTGAAATATTAGCACATGTCCACTATCAGAGAAGGATTGGGGAAGGAAGACACTAGACAAGAAGAGCCACTTTGTCTGTTGCATTAACCTGCAGAATGAGTGACAAGGATCTATATTCGAATGCTGATGACCAAAGTAAAAAGAATGGAAGAGATATTTAAAAAGAAATATGAAGAGATAAATGGCAATATCCATGTCCTTTAACAGGTAGTTTTTACTTCCCAACTATACACCCACAGTGTAAACATTTCTCCTAAAATCTCATAGACAAAATCCAAGATCTAGCTTAAATATCTTAAGTCTTTTAGACAGCACATGATTTATTAAAAAATAATAAAATATAAGCCTTGGGAAAATATCTGCCTTAGTGCAATCTACCTCTCAAATCACCATCATGAACTATGACAGCCTCATGCTAGGCATACTTCTGTTGTATGAGTTTGACATTAGCTCCTTGCTATATATGCTAACATGGACAGTAATGCCTTCTATTCATGGTCATTAGAAACGTTAATTACTAAGAAAATATTCTTTTCCTTATTTTAACTTTTCTTTTAACTTTTTATTTTATATTGGAGTAAAGAACTTATTTACAAAATGGAAACAGACTCATAAACTTGAGAGTTTTTCCTTTAGTAGACTAAGTGTATATTAAACAATTGAATTATCTCTGAGAGATACAATCTATCATACTTCTGAACATTATTCTTCCCCATCACTTCTCTCTTGAAATGCAAGGTACCACTCAGGATTCAAGTCCAAATCCACTATCAATTAAATGGTATATTATTTAAAAGCAAGTTGGGTCTTTTCCAACCTTTTCTGACTCCTGGGCAATGCAAACCATACAATTGCCAAATATGTATAGAATTAACAACCACTTACATTTTTCAAAGACAGTATTGACATAAACATCCAGGTGTTTAGTCACTACACATCTTTTCAAGCAATTTAATATTGCAAAGTTGCCAACCTGGTAATAATCAGGCTAACTATATAAACTTTCAGTCAGTACCAAGCATTCAACTAATTCGTCTTAACTTTGAATTAGTTATTAAACTGAACATCCGAATTAGTATAACATACATTTGATAAATGTGTGCATGCAGATATATAGATATATATATATACATCTCATGTTAGAATTAATGAGTAACAATATTTTGACTCAGAATCCTTTCAGGAATTACACACCTACCTTACTTGTACCTAATCTCCTTAGTATCACCCATTTATGCTAAAGGATAATTAAAATTTAACACATTAGCCAAGCCTAGTTTCCTTTACCTTTATGGATAAAAATAGATCTGTCTTTCTGAGTTGAGAATGAATGTTTAAATTTGAAATCAAACTGTGCCACAGGCCAATAAATTAGGCCTACAGCTGAATGTCTTTGAAAGTTTCAAGAATGCCAAACCGGTGCTGTATTTTAGAAACGTCACATGCACGTGTAAAGAAATATCATCACAGAATCCTGTGATGATTGCTAAAATTTATCTGGTTGCTAAAATTCAACCCAGATACTCTTTTATATTTTTATGTTTCTCGTTTCTATATATCTGTACTAGTGTGAAAATAGGCATCTGCAAAATTCAATGAAGGAAACGAAAGATACTATGCAAGCATATCTGCCCAATAATGTCATGCTTTCACATAGTCTAAGTTTGAAAAACTTAGCCATTATAAATAAACTAATTTAAAAACTATTCATGCACAAAAAAACTATTCATGCACAAAGTCTGGGCTCTATATGACTTCAGGTAGTCTATAAAAGGTAAATACGTTATGTCTGTATAAAAGGAATCAGAGATAATGTTTATTTCATATACCTTATTTTCTATTACCTATGCTTTTTAATATGTGACAATGCATTCATGTATAAAATGTATTAAAATATAAATATTACCCTTAACTTTTAAAGGCATTACTTTGTGAGTATTTAAGAAAAGGAAAACTATTTTTACCTCCCAGTCCTGGTCTAAGCCGATTATCGTAACCATCCAGGAGTCTGTCTAGAATTCTTGTAAAGATGGTAATGTTATTTTTAGCCTCATCTTCTTGGATGTTAGCCAGCACCAACCTAAACAGATAATTTTACAAGCTGATATATATACATACGTGTGTTTTGCAAGTGCCAACATGCTCTTCCTCCTTGATTTGAATTTTAAGGCTCCCTGAGCTATTAGTGTCACCCATTTTCCTCCTTTTTTTTTTTCCACTTCTTTAAATGCCAGTATGTCTATGGGGAAGGTAAACATGCTGTTGGAAATAGATAATAAATACTAGCTTATCAGAAAGTTTGATGCCAAAATTCTTTCAGATTTCTATCACTTCGCATTTTGTGTGACCTATTCAATTTTTCTAAAATGCACTCCCTAGAATATATTATGATGGTAGATTATCACATGCAGATACTATTAGTAATGTTGTTCTGCATTTGGAAAGGTACAAAAACCAAAGGGACTACTGAAAGAATTCTTCAGTGATTTGAATATTAATTGGAAAATAAATTGCCTCCTTGGAGGCACAGAATTTTTCCATCTTTCTCAGAAATGTCTTTTCTTTTTATGTCTTTTTCTCTTTTAAGCCAAGATGATTTTCTAACTTTGGGTATACCTCCACCCAATGGCCAAGTGCAATATAGACATCAGGGAAACTCCGCTGGCCGTGTTCCAGACTCCACTGAAGTCAAGGAGGTGGAGGTGGTCTCTGAAAGCATCAGCAACACAGACACAGCTGCAGAGAGCCTTGGAGGAGTACCCCTCCTGACTGGTCTCTGAGGAGAGCAATAGAGGTCATCCAAAGATTAAAATGCCCAGCTACTTTGTGTGTGTGTGTGTGTGTGTGTGTGTGTGTGTGTGTGTGTGTGTGTGTGTGTATGTGTGTGTGTGTGTGTGATAAATTTGCGGAAAGAATAAGTGGTCTTAAAATATCACCAGAAGAGGGTTAGAAACAGTGATTTTCTCCATTATTTCTCCATCAGAAAGCCAGACACCTGGTTTTGTGACATCCAGCAATTTGGTGCAGAAGCAACTGGATGTATAAAACAGAATGTCCCTTTTCACTGCCATTTTTTTCCCCAGAATGATTCAGAGATTTAAATTACTGGTCCAGAAAAAGAATCATTTATATAATAGAATAAAATACTGGCATGAGCATTACTGGTCAAATATAGAACAGAAAACTAGTAGAAGAAAATATGGTTAAGTACTGAGGATTTTCAATGATTATTAATGGACCACAGTTTGTTCACTCCTCTAAAATCAAAGATTATATGTAATTGCATTCTGATCAAGGTGTACTGTGTGAAATATCATTGACAGAATTCATTTGCATTTAAATGATTACACAGCTAGTAGCTAAAAATAGTCATAATACATGGAAAAATCAGTAAGCAACTTCAAGCAAATATCCTCTTGGGAGAAGAGAAAATATTAAAATATTGATATAAAGATAAACATTTTAAAAATTATGTAAGCAAATTAGTTCATACCTCAAGCCTCAAAAGTTTTTATGTTGCCTTAAGCTAACTTTAAAACCAATCACTAAGATGGTCATGAAGTTCCACTTAGAGATTTTCACTGGAAAGCGTTTTTTAATCACATGTCACATTTTCTTTCTAAACTCAATATTAATATATTAAATGAGGAGCTATTTTCCAATTAAAAATAAGACTTCATAAAGAGATTTCTTCTCAATTCTAGAAAGTATTTTCAAACTTTGACAATTACTGAGACAGGAAAATGAAAATTTTAAAGAGAAATAAAGGTATCATAAAATCATAAACACTAATATTTTTAAAGGAATAGTTACACGGACATTATTATGAATCATATTTTAAGTTCTCTGGCATTTTGAAAACCATACCCTAAATTTAGGCAATTAATAAAAGCTGCCCATTGATGATAAAAAAAATCAGAAAAGACTACAATTAAGATGATGCTATTGAAAACAACAGAAATTAAATTTGATATTTGTAGAATACAGGCAAAACAGAATTTGTTACACTTTCAAAGTAAGTACTTTTTATGACGGTACCATTTTAGAAATAAAAATTTCTAAATCAATAATATGAAAAGTTGATTAATAAATCAAGCTTTTGTTTTATTTGTTTGTGATTGTGAAGTTGTATAGTACCTCCACCTAGAGGTTTCAGATCCACACATCATTTAGGTTTTCTATGTTGACTGAAAGAGCCAAGACCAAAAGGAAAGAAAGACAGAAAGAAAAAGAAAAGAAAAAAATTAACACTCAAATCATTTTAGCTTATGCTTTTCTGTTTGGCTTAAAGGAAAACTGATGGTTTCTTTACTGAACTTTGGTGTTATTATAATCGCATATAACAACCACTTCAATTCCTTGCAAAAATATGCCATCCAAAGGGCACTCTTTTCTTCCGTGATTTATTTTTTTAGAAAATGTTTGTATTCACTTTTGTATTTTATCGCTAAAAACAAGAAGCAACGAACTTTTAATAGTCTCTGTCACTTAATAGTTCTGTTTCTTGGTACAATATGTTTTCATTAGAAATGATCCTTCAAAATACTCAGCTTCTGAAAAGCCACCTCTGCATTGGTAACATTCAAGAAACACACCTTCACCCTGAATTTAAAATAGAAAATACAGTAAATAATTGTCTCACCTGGCTGGGTCCCACACCAAGAAAACAAGAAGCAGCAACTGCGTGTTGCAGATGTTCAGCTTCATCTTCATCACCACTCTTTGTAAAGTCATGGAAGAAAAACAAAATACACTTAAAATTACATTCAGTCCCACCATCCAAATAGCCCAAAAGAATGTCATTTCAACTGGGAATTGGAGTTAAAGATATAGAGATTATTCCAGTGGAGTGTGTGTAGGGTGTGATGACTGGAGGAGGGTCTTTTCTTTTCTTCTTTTCTTTTCTTGGTTTTTTTTTTTTTTTTTTTTTTTTTTTTTTTTTTTTTTTTTTTTTTCTTTCTTTTTTTTTCTCTTAACAGAATGATGACCAAATAATCAGACTTTGCTCTGCCAGGAACTTCCCTCAGCCACATCGTCAGCAAACACTGTTTTGTGGACACACACACGTATTAAGAACACACGGGACCCTGCACTGACATTTGAGCTAGAGAAAAGAATGGGTTGGAGGGGAGAGTGAAAAAGGGGAGGAGAAACGGGTATTTCGTGCCACATCCCCTCAACCAAGACCGCCTCCGCGACCACAGCGGGAAAAGCAAGGGGCAGCCAGCCCACTTTTTCCGATTATTCTTCTTTCATTACAATGAACTGCAGTCCTCACGTCTTCACTACTTCAGTCCTTTTAAAATAAAATCAAATCACCTCCCTCCCTGCCCATCCACAGTTGCCCAAGACCACGTCTTGGAGGCAGCCGGGTTCGGATTAACTGCTGCGAAACAACGCGTTTGACAGCTGTTCCGGAGCCGAGGACCGCAATCCGAGCCGGAGCGTGAGGCTCCGGGAACCAGCGGAGGCAGGCAGGCAGCGGCGATCACAGCGTGCAAAGTTAAAAGACTATAAAAGAGCCAGGCTAACGTGCTGCCGGGCGGGCGTCTCGGATCTTATTGTAGTTGCAAATAGGCTGCTGGTGAGGAGTATCGAAATTATTTTTTAAACATGCTGGGGAGGAGGGGGCGACCTGAGCCGCTTCGGTTTCCAGGGAGCATCGGAGAGTGAATGGGGGGAGATGAGCCATGCACGGGAGGCAAAGGTAAATGGGGAAGCAAGGGTCCCTGTTGGGACCAACGTGTGCGACCTTACCTGAAACGGCAAGCGGAATTGGGTGTTTTCCTCCCTTTGCCCTGATCTAGAGGAGATATGAAACTTGAGAGAGAGAGGCAGACAGACAGACAGACAGACTGCAGCAGCCCGGCGAGCGGGGAGCGATGGGCTGGTAGCAGCCGAAGGAGAGCGCGAGGAGTGGCGGCGGCGCGAGGAGTAGAAGGAGGCGAAGGCGTCCGTAGTGGCGGTGATGGGCGGAGGAGGAGGAAGAGGAGGAGGGGGAAGCGTTGGCAGGAGCTGGCTGGGTGCGGGGGGGACGCGAGCAGAGGCGCGGTGCGCGCAGGCAGCGGCGGGCACGAGCCCCACGCCTGGAGGAGGAGGAGCCAGGCCCGAAAGGAGGGCTAACGAGGTTCTCGGCAACGCAGGGACGCCCCCCTACCCCCGCCCAGACACCGGGTAACCGCCCACCGCCCGCCGCCCGCCGGGCACCTGCCAGGGCACATCCCCAGGCGGCGGCGAGCGCCTCTCCCCGCGCCCACGCCGCGCCGGAGGAGCGGAGCCCACTCGCCGCCCGGGACTGCGCCCCGCGGCCGCCCTCAGGGACTCCCTGGAGGCCCCGAGGTTCCAGGGGGCTGCTGGTGGGTGCTGGTGCGGCGTCGGGGACGCGGTGTGTTTGTGCGGCCCTAGATCCCCGGGACCTCGCCCTGCCTCCCGCCCCCTAGCGTGCCCGGGCTCCGGAGCGACGTGGGTGCCGAGGAGAGGTACAGCTCCCGCTGGAAGGCGAGGGGACTCATCACGCCTGTACTTGGTCATCAGCGCATCCACGCAGGACCAAGTTCGAGGCATGTTGCGTGGAATCAGACAGCAGGAAGTTTCTCTGATTTCCTGAGCCCTTCTGATGTACCACTCATTCCTTCACACTCCTGCAATCAGGACCAATTTCCCTTCAAAGCTCTGAGGGCTGGAGACTTCCCTGGAGCTGGTCAGTCAAGTCATCTGCAGATTATTGGGAAACCCGTTCACTCTCAGCAATTCTTTTCCCCAATATCTTTTCACAAACGTCCTCCCTACCTGGTGATCAAACTCAATCAACGGCTCCAAAAAAGTTTACGTACTCCCCACCCTACCCACCTCCACCCCCAGCAAAAAGGGACCTGGTGTGCGTCTACTACCTCTGCAAATTCTTTCCGCAGCGGGGCGGGGTAGGGGCGGGGTATGTAACATGTTTTGAGGTTTTCCCCCTTTAGGGGTTTTTGCTGGTGTAGAGACCTGTTGTAATTTCAGTCCCATCGTACACTTTCAGCCTTATGCTTAATTTGTCTCATTTCTCTTCTACTTTATCTGAGGCGATAAAATCCAAACGTGCAACTTGAACAACAACAAAAAGAGAGACATTTTCCTCTTGGTACTGCAGGTAAGACAGAACGTTATGCACATCCTTCTAAAGCAAAGCAGAACGGGTGTTTGTCTCTTCAAGAAGTTGTAACAAATGGTAGACATTTTAAACGAAAAAACAAAAAGTATGCTGATACGTTTCTGTCCTTTTGCATTCAGAGTCAATGTATGCCAAACACTTCAATTTTGTTAGATATGAACCCAAAATTCAGATATTTTTCCTAGATGGTACAGTTTTCATAACAACAGGCACTTCTAATCGCCGGTAAATTTTAGCTTTGCATTGAAGATTTTGTGAGGACAATAAAACCTTTACATTGCAAATTTTTCAAGCTATTCTTTTTAACCTATTAATCACCACCTTCTAAATGAGCATTTAATAAGCTACAACCTAAACAAACATTTGCTCTACTTAGCTGCCTCTGTGAAGAAGGGAACACCACCCAGCTTTCTCCTCCATCATTAATATTCCCTTCCTGACTTGCCCACTGCAGAGTCTAATTGAAATTCACAAAGATAAAGGCATGCCATTTAAAACCTTGCAACTAGGGAATCTAAACATTTTCTACTTAGTGTGAACACTTCACTTCCTACTGTATTTTCCATTTCTATGAGTCAATCTTTATTAAGATCTCTATCATTTCGCCATTTATATTACTACTAAATTGTTTATATTTTGATAATGAAAGTTGAACAGCCCATGGTCTCTTCCCAACCTTAATTGCTATGCTACAAAATTTCTCTTTCATGGATGTACAATTTTTGTAAATATCTTCATAGATTATTTTCTTACCACTATAGTCTTTTCCTTGGGTGCTAATGACGAATTATGGATTGTAGCTTTAATTGTTTTATCTCAAAAATTGTATTTATTGGAATTTGTTCCAAAAAAAAAAAAACCTCTACCATTAGCACCCTTAATACATTTGTAATCTCACTGCCGTATGACCCGTTTATGTGGAAGTTCACAAAGTTCAAGCTGTTTTGGATGATTTTCACCATTTGCTTTGTAAAAAACTATGTTAGAACAATCTATAGATTCGGATATACACTTACTTGAGAGAGACTCAGTAAAAGCTAGATTCAAAAAATTCATTATAAAACCATGATTTTTAGTTCTTCCCCACAAAATGCTTTGCAATTTTATTGAAGCCGGATAGCTGTGATTTAAACTTCAAAGTACATTAAAGGAAATGGAAATCAGAAAAGCCGATTGCAAGCACCAGACCTCTACTTTTATTGCTATATCTTCACTGATATTTCTCTGTGTTACTAGTCCAGTCAAATTTCTTCTAGGATTTTCCAGCTCCCACAAATATCTGAAAAATCCAGCCTGATATCCTTCTTTCCTCTCTGTGATGGAATGCAGCGAACTGCCTGTGATTTGAGAGCCAGCCTGCGTAGGTCATGACTAAGCTCTTCCTACCCACTCCTTGTGGAGCAGGTCCTAAGGCAAGCAACAAATCCTGTAGAACTGACAACCAGTCGGTTACCAGTAAATCCATTCCCGCCCAGGCTAAAGCAGTGCAAAACCTTCTGTTTGAACATATTTGAATTACTCTCCCACAAATTGGATTGGGGGGGGGGTGTCACTTCTTATATAGTTTCCATCCCTAACAACCAAGTCCCTAAGGAGATTTCCACACGAGGACCAAGAAAAAAAGAAAATGAAGAATTGGGAGATCATGATTTTGTCTGATTTTGTTTCCTGATATCTCACAATATTGTATAGTTTTAAAATTCATTTAAAATTTAAAATTCACAAAACTGTTCATGTTTTTTAGCAGATATTTTGTAGAGCTTCCTTTTTTAGGGCTCAGCTATATTGAGACTTGGCACTACTGCTCCAGGGAACTACTACTCCCTAATCTATATATAGGGGACCTAATGAATCTTTAGGTTCTATAAGATGTGTATATAGGTATATATAATATATGTACATATATATTATATACATACATACATGCATACAGATATACAGATATTTATCTGTAGAAAGATAGATACCTGAACTAATAAAATAGGCATAAGGATTTTAATGAGAATAGCATTTATATAATACATTTCTACAAAGTGCTTTCAGTCTCACTGCCATATAATTTGGTCTTAGTGATGTTTACATACCTTGAAAAGAAGTACCAGAATTACTTCAACAAGAATAGCATCTCACCATATTTACAAATTTTTTAATATCAGCATATATTTCATATAATAAATTTATATACACTTTACATTCTTATGAGTCATTCATTCAAATGAGAATATATATTTGTGAAAAAATAGAAACTAAAGCATAGATTATCCTGTTTTCACAGAATTAAATATTATTCTGTACTTTTCCCCAGAATACTTTACTAATTTCAAAGTATGCTTGGAGTGCAAGTCTGTTCTCACATATTCACCACATTATCATTCAAAAAAAAAAAAAACTGGAGCAAATACCCATTTGGTAATTCTCAAGTAGAAACCACGGCTTGGTGAAGCTCCATTTTTCCCTGTAAGTTGAATTTAGATAGATAGTTCTAATATGTCCACTAGACTCCAAGATTTTGCAAGAAGAGACAGCTGGAAAGTGGGAGTAACTAGCCTTATAAACAAAT